TTTTTTTTCAGCACTGGGGATTGAACTCAGGACCTTGCACTTGCCAGGCAAGTGCTTATTCTACTGAGCTATCTCCCCAGCCCCTCTTCTAGTATTCTTAACCATTTTCTAAACTCATGAATTTACATAATTTTAACAACATGCATATACTGCATGGTACTGCAAAATCCCACAATATAGTGAAATATTAGATTAATATTTTTTTGAAAACCCAAAAAACAGTGAGTCTGTGAAAGTTGAACGTGAGTAGCGAGGGACTGCTATAGTAGATATTGGGAAATAGAAAGAAAATTGTCAGATGGGAAGGGGAGCAAGTGAGGGGGGAGGGAGAGGAAAAGGATGAGAAAAAATAAGAAAAGGAAGAAAAAAATCGGACAACAAAGGGGAGTTGAAGAGGGTTTGAAGGGAGGGGAGGAGGATGTGGAAGGAAAGGAATCAAGATACATCATGTACGAGAACAAATCCCCCATGATGATTGTGATTGTTATGTGTGTCTAAGATGTACACCAATAAAGGGAATTCATTTTAAAAAAGTGAAATAATGTCTTTGTTTCATTTCAGGATGGAATTGTGGACCCTGTTGACAGCACTTTAAGAGACTTTTGTGGTCAGTGTATTGGAGAGTTCCTTAAATGGTCCATTAAACAAACAACGCCACAGCAGCAGGAAAAGAGTCCAGTGAACACCAAGTCCCTTTTCAAGCGTCTGTACAGCTTTGCGCTTCACCCCAACGCCTTCAAGAGGCTTGGAGCCTCACTTGCCTTTAACAACATCTACCGGGAATTCAGGTGTGTAGGCCAAGTGAAAGGCAGGAGTGTCCAAGACACCCGTGAAACTCGGTGCAGAGCCGGATGGTGGCTCAGGAGCTGAGGCAGGAGAACTGCCACAAGGTCAAGGCCATCCTCAGCTCCATCGTGAGTTTAAGGCCTGTCTACACATAGCGAGACTGTCTCTAGAAAGAAAAAAACAAAACAAGAGAATTTCAGGGGTGATGTATTTATTTATTTTTTTAATTTTAATTTTTTTAATAGATTGCAAATTGAAAATAAATTATTTACAAACATAAATGAATATAACAATAAAAACTGTCCAAAATAAAAATGAAAGAATTTACAGATCAGTCATAATAGTTCACTGTGTCAAAACCAAGAAACTTACATTCATATAACTAGAATTCTCAAAGTAGA